GTGATACTTAATTGATAGCTAGGTTATTTTCTGGCTCTCTGCTCAAACCTGAATTTCATGCATAGGAATATTTTATCCTGTGTAGATGTGCATTCTTTGTAAGAAGATTTTAGGTGCCTATAGGAGCTATTGAAAATGTAAGCAGAAACCAAGAAATTGTTCAATGATCTGGTTTAGAGTGAAGATTTTCCCAGCATGAGATGAGTTTGGCAGAAAGACAGCCTTTTGTTTTATAAAACCTTTTCCTCCTGGTTGCTTTATAAGTCTATTCAGTGCTGGGACAGAAAATATCTTGACTGTAACTGAACAAATTAGATGTGATATACTAGTGGGCACAGTCTGTTAGATCTGAGAATTTCTAGTACAAGTGAGACATTTAAGATAGATCTATAATATGTGAATCACCTATAATGTCCACATTAAGTGTCAGAGATCTTTGATTTAGTGAATCTCTCGTCATCACTACAGTGCCCAACCCCTTCAACTCTCACAGTAGTTGTATGTTATATAAGAGTGTAAGTGTTAGGATTGTATAGTGAATAAATGTTCACAAATATTCTAATTTAAAAACTAGTTCCCATAAATCAATGATTACTTTGGAATCTTGAATTTCGTTTTCACAAAATAAATACCATATTTACCCAAATACAAGATGGTCCTGAATGTAAGATGACCTCCCCCCAACCTTCCATTCTGCACATGGAAAATTTACAATTTATTTTAATTTTCATGTATTGAATCTACTTATTGGAGGTTCATCTTAAATTCATCCCACCACTCTGCAGGTGGGGAGGAAAGAGGTTATGAAGGGGAAAATAATGAGGCAGGCAGAGGAAGGAGGCTGTGGGGGAGGCAGTAGCAGTGGCACATGGGAAACGGGACCCTGGTTATGAATTTATACCATCTCAGACCTACACAAGTTTGACTTACCATTAGAGGGCCTGGAGAGCAGGGGTGTGGACAAGACCCAGGACTCCTCTAGGGTGGGGCGATAACACATAGATGACTTGCTGTCACTTCCCTGACTCTGTAGCCAGCAGAAGCCAGGTGGAGCTGTACATGGAAGAGAACAGATTTGGAGAGGGGTGACTAGAGAAAAAATGGGTTCAAGTGAACAGGCAGGGAAGTGAAATAAATAAATGTAAAGGGAAAAAAATAAAAAAAGAATAATAATGATAATAAAATAAACCAAAAAGTCCAAAACCGTGTACACATTTCACATAATTGGGATTGGGTCAGGGGGAGTTAGGTTACTACTCACACCAGGGCAGAGCTGAGACCCACTGGGCTTTCTTCATGAATGCCACACCAGGGCAGGCTGAGAGCAAGCAACCATGCTGCATGCAACATCAAGGCAGAGATGAGACCTTGCAGGCTCATTGCATTCATGCCATACTGGAGTAGAAATGAGACCCAACTGAGAATGATTTATTTTCTCTGACACATTCTCTTCACAGAAGTAGGTACGTATGCCCACCTCTCCTCCACGACCACCTGCCTCCACCAGGTGCATGCAGGAGGAGAGCCAAGTTGATCAGGGGCACACGCAGGCTCCCCACCCTGCTACCTTTCTCCTGGAGCCCCACACTGGCCATATGCCCCCTGCCCATCTGGCAGCAGTTGGGGGGGGGGGCAAAACTCCATGCTGCCACCATCCCCACTGCCACCAAGTGGGCAGGAGGTGCCTTGCCATGGCAGCATGGCAAGTGCAGGACTCTTGGGGGCAAGGCAGCAGGGCAGGAAGCTCCAAACCCACAGCAGGCAGCCTGCCTCCACCCCATGCACAAGTCTGGGGGGCACATGCCTTCCCATGACCTTTCCAGGAGTGCACACCCATGGCTACATCCTTCTCCTTGTCCCAGCCCAAGGACCCATGCACCACCCTAGCTTGGCAGCACCCCCAGCCCCAGCCCCTTCCGCACTTCCCTCACTGTGGTGGCCTCGGTCTTCTCCCCAAACCTTCTTATGCTCCCTTCTTCCATAGACTTACCTTCAGGGAGCTTCTCATCCACACTGCCTGGCTATATTCCTGGCCACATGCATATGTGCAGGCGTGCACTTGCATGTGGTACCCCCTGCATCCCACTCCTGGCAGCCCCAAGCAGCCTAAAAAGGGAAACCTGGATCCCTGCAAATGTGGGACAAATACTGTCCTGGAGTCATGCAGCCTGGGACCAGGACTTGAGGTTCACATTCCAGGACTGTCCTGCCCAATTAGGGATGGGTGGTCATCCTCATAGGTAGTAGGATTGCTACTGATGTTGCATGAGAATCGGACAGCCAACAAAAAAATTGGTGAGCTGCATTTAGGTGCTCAGTGTCTGCTGGGGTTGCACCCCCTGGGAACAGAAGGGTTTTGACTTAGGACTGGCACCACCACCACCCTGAGTAGTAGAGTTCAGGAAGTTTTAAAGTTTGGAGTGGGAAGGGCTGGGAATGGTGAATCGTGAGATTCTGCAGGGATGAAAATAGAGTAGTTTATCTCCCTGGAGCAGACTAATAATACTCTGGAACAACCTAGGTAAAATAGATCAAAGTTCAGCTAAAGGGGCATAACTTTAAGTACATCTGTGCACATGCTCCAGGATGGGGGCACTCTAATTAGAGAGTCTCTGAGAGCCATACTAATGAAAGCTCCTGCAGCATCATGTGTATTTAACATCCCACATTTCATGACATATGACACTGGATCTAAACTGTAGCAATACAGGTTTAGAACAAAACTGATTAAAAATAATTCTAATCTGTAAATATAGTAGTCCCATAGTAGTAGTAGTAGTCTCTAAATGTTGTTGGCTGCCTAGAGGAGTTGTGGAATCTTCTTCATTGTAGTTTTTCAAGAAAAAGCTGGATAGAAAAATGTTCTGTTCTCTTTCTTTATTTTATTATTCCACCATGCATATTTTCCCAAGATAGGGATCTGATGAACTCTGCCTCTAAGGGTAATTCATCAGGCCTTGCCCCAGGCATGGAAATGCAGACCTTCCAGAATCCATGACTGAAGGGAAGACTTTCTAATTAGACTGACATTTCAAACAGAAGAAGAATTTTCTGGCTGAGGTTAATGCCTGGAGTGAAAATATCATAGGAACATAAAAGAAGTCTACTCATGTCTAAGCTTCTTCCTTTGCCCATTTTTGTTAGCTTTTTTTCCCTTTGACTTTCCCACTCCCTTTGGGTCTTCCTTGCTTATGTTAAAGCTAACTCTTCTTGGCTTTTAGCTGATCTGTGGTTATTTAAGAAGTTGGCCTAACCCAGAACTGGGGTACAAGAAGGGTGAAGAAAAAGAATCATCAGACCTTAGGCTAGAGAGAACTGTAACACCTTTATTGAAAGCTTATTCTACCCAATGGCTTTGAGGGAACGTGTTTCAGGCTGATATAGGACCCTTGAAAAGTCTTCTTAACATTTATTCAGTTCTATCCTATGCACACACCTTGAGTTCATTGCATATGCACTGCCTGTGCCAGGGCAGAAGAATAAGGGTTTAAAACCCACCTTTTCTGCGGGCTTCATTGGTGTATAGAGAAGGTATGGTATGGTAGAGGTGAACCTTATGGACTAAGCGAATCTGGGATATATAACCTTTTGTGATCCACAGCTTCATCGGATTCCATGAAAAGACAAGCAGAGACTAAGCTATCAAATAGAAGCAGTGATTTAAATACAAGGACAGGGAAGGAAGGGGAAAGGGGAAAAGAGGACAGATCTGAGAGAAGTTGAGGGGGCTGGAGAGAACAAAAAAGCAATAAATGCATAGTCACATAATAGCTAATCCAGGTAATAGGATAAGAACCCATAGTCCACATTTAGACTATACTTAACCCAAAACAGCCTGTGTATGATGTCTTGTTCTACAATTCACCTTCAAATCAATTTTTAGAATTCTGATGTTTCAAAACAGTTACTCTGAGGTTACTGATGGACTATCCATGGAGGTTGAAGTAGTTTGCACCAGGTTTTTGTGTTTTTCTGGACTTAATGTCAACTTGATTTCCAGCCATTTTGTCATGGATTTTGATTGCTGTGTATGAAAGGCATTTTGTGTTTCTTGGAAAATATACATTTAATACATCTAAATAGCATTAACTGGTACTCCCAAAGCAGGACAGTCCCTAGGCACCTCCAGGCTGCACTGCTTCCCCACACAGCCTGGAGCTGGCTGGCAACTGTCCGAGTCAGGGACAGGTCCCAGCCAAATCCAGCTGGGTGGGGAACTGTCCCCATGCAGGGAGCTCCTAGCCCATGCTCCACAATCACAATAGTGATCATGGATTGGGAGCTGGGAACAAGCTCCCAGCCCCCGCTCTGTCTTTGTAATTGGGGAGTGGGGTCTAGAAGCTCCCTGCTACCATGGCATGGGGACATTGTCCCAACCTGGGCATGCAGGGTTCGGGCTGGGGAGCTTGTTCCCTGCCCAGCTTCATGGGTGTGGTGCTATAAGAAGAACAAGCTCCCTAAACTGTTCCTCCCTCTCTGCCTCCCCCAGCTCCATGCTCGCAAAGCTGAATGGGGAACAGTGTTCCCTGCCCCCATCAGCAGGGAGCTCCCAGTGCTGACTCTGTGGTCATAGGGCTCAGGCTGGAAGACACTTATCTCTCAGCAGTGGCTCTGTGGCCACAGGACTGCTGCTTGGAGATACTTATCTGCCAGCCTCAGCTCTGTGATCATGGGGCTCAGGTTGGGAGATCCATATCTCCTACCAGTGGCTCTGAGACTGTGGAGCTGCTTCTGGGAGATAAGGGTCTCCCATCCCCCAGTGCCCCAATCATGATGGTGAAGTGGATGCTGGGAGATAAGGATCTCCCAGGGCCCACTCCCTGATTGTGATCTGGGAGCAGGGGGCTTAGAGCTTCCTGCTGCCAGGATAGGGGTCATAGTCCCCACCCAGGCTCCTGTGGTAGAGCCCATCTCAGCAGCAGGCAAGTCCTGGGGACAGGGAGCTATCTCCCATCCCCCGGTGGACAACTGACCACGATCAGATTTTGCTCCCAATCAAGCATCTACATGAGTATTACAGCACCATTAGTAATGCTGAGTGAATTTGGTACTTACATTTGTAGGCAGAAAATTTACTCAGTATTAGGGAAGTTTACTGCAAAGTAAGCATGTGCACACCTAGACACACCTGCTTGCTTCACAGAAAACTATGCTAATGTGAAGTCAAGTGTCTTGTGTAGACATGCCCAGGGAGATGTACAATTTAGTTTGAATCAGGTGACTCAAAAGCCATGAACAAATAATGTTACTCCCACTGCTGGCTGGTTTTAGTATAAAGAGCTGAGTTTGAATGTGAAGTGCTAGTAATCAGATGCTACTGCTTTAATTATTGATCTGACTATTGAAAGGTATGTATACTATACACACGGAACATATTTATATATTAAACACACATTTTCCTCCCTGATTCATGAATGTGTATTAACTTCTTGATGTCTAAAAGTTGTACATAAATACAGCTTATGAAAGTGTGGGTGACACTTTTAATACAAAATGTGGGAGCTGAAGCATCAAAAACCCACTATAAAAAGTAAAGCGAAAAAGGAGTAAACAGGCTTGGGTTTAAATGCTGGGAAGTCTTAATATAGTAACAAGAAAGTGTTTTATTCACTATAGTCCCAAAGGATCTTAGAAATAAAATGAAAAAGGTTTTGTTAAAGTGTCATTGCTAACATCAGATGTAAGATGTCACAAGCTTCATACTCAAAAGAGAACAAGAATGCAGGATATAAAATCAGCATCTATGCATGATCTATGGAAGATACATTTGATGAACATAAAACGTAAAAAGCAAGGATAGGCTGCTTAAACAGCAAGGAGAGAATTACGATGCTGAATCATTAGATGCATGTTGATATCTTAACTCATCCAGTAAGTGCTGGGACTTCAAAAATAAGATTTCAAACCATTCTGCATTTTCATTTTCTTCCTTCTGTTTCAATCCATTAGCAACAGATAAGAAAAAAATAGAGTGGGAGTCCTGGCTTCCTTTGGAGAAATTTAATTACAAAAGAAATGGAGATTGAAGGAGTGTATCACAGTTAGTGTTATCGAAGTACAAGAAAAGGGGAAAAAAATCTTTTCTTCATAAAGGCTTTTTCAAATGTGACCTATTATTTTAGTGCACATACTTTCCTCTTTATCACAGAGTAACTCAAGGTAAACTTTGATAAAATATACCTCTTACTGTAAAGGTGAATTTGAAATTTTCATTAGAAAAAAGATGGGGGAACTTAAATTTTGACTTGTCTTTAAAGTAAGCAGATAGATAGATAGATAGATAATCTCTATCTCTCTCTATCTCTATGTAGTGTAAGGTGAAATCTCTCCATATATCTCTATGTAGAGCTAGAGAGAGATAGAGATTAGATAGATTTATATTCAATCTATATCAAATCTATGTGTATCGCTATTCATATATATATATATAGAGAGAGAGAGAGAGAGAGAGATGGAGAGAGATCTAGCTATCTAAATCTCACTTTAAAGACAGGTCAAAAAAATTATGCCCCCTATCTCTATATTGATATAGATATAGATATCTATATATAGCTATATAGAGAGCTTCTTTTAACTTTGTGGATCAAGAGTTACCTTATTTTGTTTCTTTTCTTTCACAAAATATCTATCTGTCTATCTATCTATCTATCTGTCTATCTATCTATAGATATCTAGATAAATAAACGGATATATGTTTTGTGAAAGGAAAGAAAAAATAAGGTAACTCTTGGTCCACAAAGTTAAAAGAGGTATTAGTGTGTGAAAAGTATTCTTATTTGTTTGTGGCTAGTTCATTACATCAATCAGCATTTGCAATGTGCCAAAGTATTCCAAAGATGCTCTGTTAGTTCCCAACATTTGAATGTGTTGGTCCTTTGCTGTAATGAAGAGGGAAGATGAGATAACGCAAAAGATTGCTAAAAGAGAAGAGCTGGTCTAAGAGTAATTCTATTCTATTCTGTATATGTGTATGTATATGTATATGAATAAGTCCTAAATATTGAATTTAGCATGACTTGTGTGCTATTTGTGAAACTTTGGGTATAATTACTGGATATTATACAAAATGTTTGTGAATTTGGAATGGCTTACAAATTTTAGTATAACTGATTATTTTCCTCTAGTTTTAAACTGTCACAGATACATAGAAAAAAACAACAAACAGAAAATTTGCTTCTGGAGGCCAGTCATATTATAAAACCAAAATGATGAATAGTGAATGGCCAGAATAATGAAACTATGAACAGCCCACTGTGAATAGCAAAGATGCCATAGGTAATGCTCTTGGTTTCTAAATCATTTCCTAACCAAACAAATAAAATAATCATGAGGAAGAGTATTTGTAACAAGTGTAAACAGAACTAGTAACAAATAAGGGGATGACTATGAATAGAGATGCTACTCTCAAAATTTACTAAAGTTTTGCATGTTATTAGTTTAATGATAGGAGAATATCATGATGTATCTGTATAGCAGTAAGTCATTTTGTATTTGTTGTAACAAGAAGGGTTTTCCTCCATATGTCTAGGTTCATGCTTGTTAATAAAAATAAATCCTTTTACAAAACTATGTCCATGATAAAAAAAAAAGAAAAAAAAAAGGGGGGGGGGTTCATATCGTCCTAATAAAGACGTGCAAAATGTATACTAAAACATAAGTGATTCAATATTTATGAGAAACATCAATATTTCTTGATTTTAAGAATTGTTTATTCTTCTCAAGTCAGTAAATACCTTCTGGATCTATATTTTTATGATCAATTCAATAGAAGTCAATGAATTTATACAATGATAAGATAATGTTATAGTAATAGAGCTTAAGAATGAGCACAAATATTGGGGAAAATGTACAAACCTTTAGAATGGAATAATCGTTGCTTAAATCCTGGAACAAACTGGAAAAACTGGAAAAGGATAGCATATATCAATAATACATAAATTCAAACATGTATTCCAGACTTAAATAGCTTGTTAATTTTTATCGTATTTTCTTTTCAAATTTAGATTATGATTTTCTAAATAGCTATTCACCATATTAGGATTTTGCTTTTTGTAGTATTATCTTTTTATTACCATTTAATAACTGTTTTATAGTTTTCTATATCAAGAACAGTCAATGTTCTTTCCCTCTGTCTATTAGTTTTTCACTCTTGAATGTTTTCATCCATCTTCTTTTTTCTATTGGATTCTTTCTTCATTAGATATTTTGCTTATCTTTTTATCAAAAGTACTATTTGCTACTTCCTCTGACTTCTTTCACTTATATTGTTTCTTTTTATCTCTCATGTAGATTGTTGTTTTAGAGATGTCATTTGTATTCCTCACTTTGACTGTTTTCTGACCTTTTCTACTGGTGTGTTTTATTTTCTTTGTGCCTCATGGTCAGAACACTCAAGTTTTCATTGATTTGTACCTGAAAGCTCACAATATAGACCATTTCTCTGAGACACAAAACAAAATCAATCTAGAATCTAATTTCTCCCTTTTTATATTTCTAAAATATTTTCTTATATATTTTAAGTTTTTACTCCCTGTTACTCTACCCCCATGTGAGTTGCACATGAGGCAATTTAAAACCTGGGGGGCTCCCTATTGACAGCCTGTCCCCTTCCCATTAGGAGAGAGGATGGGCTGTCAAGTAATGACTCCCATAAGAGTAGTGGTGCCCCAGAGTGCAGCCTTCTAGTGCCCCCGTGTTGGAGAGCTCTCTGGTGTAGCTCACAAAATAGGAGGGCAGACACTTCAACTCGTGGGCTATTTTTCTACTGGTAGGAATATTGAAATTTTTTTTACAGGTAGAAATGAATGCCTGATTATGGCCAAAATCTGGAGAGTGGGAAGGGGCTGCTGCTGGAATTGATATGATTATTAGCAAGTCAAAAAACAAACTTTCTAGCTATGTGAAATAACAGATGAAACTGTAGGTCTACTCTCAAAAGAAACACTGGTCATACTTTTTAAAATGTGTAAATAAGAGGCCTTTATGCCAACAATATAGATATATTTCTGATAGTTCTAAAGCTAACTAGAATGTGAATAATAATAGTTTTATTTGTAATTCTCAAAAGTGCTTTGTAATGTGGTTACCTGTCATTATTCCCTCTTTACAGGTGGAAAAAGTAAGGCGGGGGAGGGGAAAAATCAGTCCATGGTTGTAAGGCATACCAGTGAAGATCAAGTAAAGAATTCACAGCCCAAGTTTAATGTAATGGTAAGCCACAATAAGCTTAAACATGAAACATACTTAGAATTGTCTTTAGCATTCTATATCACTGCTTTACATTATCACTGGCAGTGAGAAAAGGTAAAAAAGCAGAGAAGAATTCTAAAAGTGGTAGAAAATAAAGTCTATATTAATTCCAAATAGAGAGGAAGTGTGCCATTCAATAGCATTTTGTTGCATCAAAACGTAAGGGAATGATATGAAAACTTTCAGAAGAATTGCAGAAGTTTTATACCTTAAGTTGACTATCAGGAATTTCCTAAAAAACAAAAAAAACCCAGCATCTCTATAGTGATCATTATTAAACGTGTCTCATAATTTGCACATCAAAGATGTATTCCATCCTGTAAATTACAAATATCATGGAAGTCAAGCACATGTCTCCATATTACCCTCTGAACTGGGATGCTACCACACAGTGAAATTCCTCTAAAAGGTTAATGAATATTTAAGTACAAAGGGCACTATTGAATGAGCATACTGTAGCAACAGGTAAAGCATAGCAGATTGTGGATTTTGCAGAATGTCTATAGGGATTTTTACTGTATGTTTTGTACTGAAACCATCTGTTATTTTGTTTGTTTTTTAGTTCAGGTTGGGTTAGGAAAAAGAACACACTGGAAAAGGACTCCAGTTTTATGAGATTTCTTTTAACTCGTAGGCTTTTACTAAAATTTATTTTGAATATGCTCATTTCTTAATTGCCAAAATTTGTCTATACATAAGGTGGTAAGAACTGAAACAGATAAAGGTCTTTTCATATATAAAAGCATATATGCTTTCATATCATTGTCTAATGGTGGACTTTCACCCCAAAACCCCCGCCCTTATCTGAGGTAGAGGCTTGTCTCTATCATTCTATGTTTCATCAGTCTCTGGTGCTCATCACCTCATCTGAGTGGTTTTTCTCTTTTTTTCCTTTCTTACTCTGTCTTCTGCACCAAGACTGTTTTATCACCTCTGCCAGCAGGCCGAAGTCCACTGCAACATCTTGCTGGACTCTCCCACACGTCCACGATCTCGCCTGCCATGACTTGTTGTTACGGGAAAAAACAGAATCGAGGTGAGTGGGTTTTGACACTTTCACTCTTTTCAATCTGTCTTAGTGTAGTGAGGGCTCCACCAACCCCTATACCCTCATCAGACCTGCCATTAATCCTAGCCAGTTCTTTTACTGGCCTATTGTCCTGATAGTTGCAAACACACTATCTATCTGGGATAACTTCCCTCTTACTCTAATGAAAACAAGAATGAAAAAAAAACTGGCACTTCTCTTGCCTTTATATTCCCAACTTTATGGTATTTTTTTTCTTCACCCCTGCTATTAGGGTCTTTAAAGTACCTTGTAACTGCCTCGCAGAAGTTTCAGTTTCTCTCTGGGCATTTTCTTCAGGGTTCTCTCCCCTGGTAGCTGCCCCCACAGAGTTGCTTCCCTTAAACCCAGTCTAAACTAATAAGACATACAATTAGGCTATATGTCAGGAAAAGATATTTCTGAGTGACACAGGGCAGTCAATTGAAGTTGTATGCTTAATTTGTGCTTTAGGAAGTCCTGCTGACTGACCCCCTCACCATATTTAAGGCTGGGTAGATTAGATTTTGCTGTAACAGGTTATCTGAACTCGATAGATAGGAAGGATCCTTTTATGTGGAGAAAACAATTTACCTTGTCATAAACTCAGAGGCATATACAATAATGACAGGGTTTAGAATAATAAGGGAAGTAGATGGTATTCCCTCCTCTCTACTGCTATTGTAATTTACTGCTACTGTGCTCAAAAAATATTATTCACTTTTTTTTAAACAAGTTTAAAATAGATCTGTAGGATTAAATTGCAATCCTATTTGACTGCAAACCATTTAAAGTTCAGCCAACCATACTCTCAATCCATATCTATTTATACAGTGGACTAAATGAGAAATTAGAGCAATTACAGCCTATTTTATCAACCTTTTATTATATATTTCCATATTTCTTTATTATTATTATAATATGTAGAGCCACAGAATACCTACACTCGGCAATGACTACATTATTCATAGTCAATACTATAAACTGTACGTGTTCCAATTCAACCCAAAACACTTCACACACCATCAAGCATGTAAGGCAGAGATCAGTTTTTACTCACTGATTCACATGAAAGCTGTTTATTTTCTCTTGGATAAACTTGTTCTTCCATGACTCGGAATTATACAGAAATATTCTTAGTACATTGTTATTAAAGATGTTCAGCTTAGTAACAGTGTTGATGCTGTTAGACTTCCATATTGAGGGGACCATCAGAAAATCTTTGCCTATCCCAGGGCTGTCCAACTTGTTAGCTCCCAGGGGACCATGCCATTGGGTGCTGCATGCTTCCTGGACTGTACCTGGTAGGCCATGGGCCACTGTGTTATGTGCCACACAGACACTTTCTCTCCTTTGTTCCAGGAGGATATTCCCTTTACCTGTGCACCAGATGACACCCACTGCTGCACATCATAGGTGAACAGGCAAAGTTTCCCCCCAATGTGGCCTCAATCCTCTCTCAACCATGCATGACCTAGATTCACCCTCAGTTCCCAGTGGCGTGTTCTCTGTCCCCTGGGGTGAGGGCACAAAGCGTTAGCCAGAAGAGGAAGTGGGGAGCCTTAATAACTGAGGTCCCCATTTTGTGATCTTTTTTCAGTCCCTTAGCAGATACTCTTGCCTCATAATACCCACCATGGATAAGTAGACATCTCTATAAGACAGTCAGACATCCTCTTTACATGCAAAAGTACAAAGTAGAAAGGCAAGTGCTGCTTGCATAAGGACAAGACTGTTTGTTTGTTTTTTTTATCTTGAAAAAAAGTTGTAAAAAGAAATATGGTGGCTCACAATTATGAATAAAAAACCTGGTAGAAGAATGCTTAAAATATAGTAAACTGGTCAAGATGTGGTATTAAGATAAAATAGTTATTTTACGTCCAGTCAGCCTTCTTTCCAAAAGTATATGTACCTTCTGGCTTAAAAAAAAGAAAAAGAAAAAACTCATAGTTTCATAGTTGGTAGGGTTGGAAGGGACCTGAGCAGATCATCAAGTCTGACCCCCTGCCATAGGCAGGAAAGAAAGAAAGCTGGGGTCAAATGACCCCAGCCAGGTGATTATCTAGCCTCCTTTTGAAGATCCCCAGGGTAGAAGTGAGCACCATTTCCCTTGGAAGTTGGTTCCAGATCCTAGCCACCCTGACTGTGAAGTAGTGCCTCCTGATATCTAGCCGGAATCTACTCTCAGTCAACTTATGTTCGTTATTCCTTGTTACTCCTAGTAGTGCTTGGGGGACTCTCCCATAGCCTTCTGGTCCCCTTTGGCCAGTTTGTATACAGCCACAAGATCCCCCCTCATCCTTCTCTTGTGGAGGCTGAACAGGTTCAGGTCCCATGGCCTCCACTCATAGGAACTGCATTGCTGCCCCTTGATCATGTGAGTGGCCTTCCTCTGGACCCTCTTAATGCTGTCCACATCCCTCCTGAAGTGTAACGCCCAGAACTGGCCAAAGTACTCCAACTGTGGCCTGACCAATTTTGCATAGATGGGGAGGATCACCTCCTTGGACCTGCCCATGATGCACCTGTCGATGTATGACAAGGTCTGGTTAGCCTTCTTTACCGCGTCCCCACGTTGGTGGCCCATGTTCATTTTGGAATCAATAATGACACCAAGATCATTTTCTGCCTCTGTGCTGACTAGAAGGGAGTTCCTCATCCTGTAGGTATGTTGGTGGTTCTTCCTCCCTAGGTGCAGTACCTGGCACTGGGCAGTATTGAATCCCATCCTGTTCTCATCCACCCACCCCTGTAACCTGTCTAGATATAATTGTAGCCTGTCCCTCTCCTCCAGCATGCCCACTTCTCCCCACATCTTAGTGTCATCCACGAATTTGAACAGGGTGCTTTTCACTCCCTCATCCAAGTCACTGATGAAGATGTTGAACAGTGAAGGCCCAAGGACTGAGCCCTGGTGGACTCCACTGCTCACATCTCTACAGGTCAAAAATGACCCGTCTGTAACTCATAACAACTAAATAAAGCTTTCATCATATGGATGAATTTTAATGTACCTCTAACAATCATTGGTAAAGTATAGTCATAGGGTAGAATTATATTACCATTTGTGTTGCTAAGTAGCAATTTTCCAGCTGTGTAAGTTGTCTTTTCAGCACTTATGCAGTTTTAGATTCTATTATCTTTAATTATCCGGGCAGTTTTAATGAATGCATGTACTCAGGAAGTGTAATTGGTGGTACTCTGGATGAACAGCTATGCAGTGTATACACATTATATACTGCATAGCTGCCTGATCAGTGTGTAGCCTATTGCCTACTCACTGCATGCATATTAATGAGGAGTAATAAAATCACAAATTATGCTAAAAACACCAATTCTGTAGCTAGGTAACATACATTTAGGGGCACACAAGGTATCAGAATTCTATCCACAATGTCCATTTTCCTTCTTGAATGATTTTTGCCACACAAGATCCTTAGCATTATATAGGTGAAAACACTTGTGAGTGAAGTATAACGATGTTCCTAATGACTTACCTGAATGAGATGTTTGAAACTGTTCTGCAGTATGAATGAAATATGTAAGTATTTCTTTCTATAAAAAGTCCAGTCAGCAGCTAGTAAATACAGATTTGGGAGCCATCAACAGGAGCATGAAGAAGGAGAACTGTTCTTGACTGAATGCCTGGAAAATGATTTACTTCATCAACCTTTTATTTATTTATTTATTTATTTATTTATTTTGATTTTCAGGCCTTCTTACTTATAAATAACCAAGTACTCTTTAATTGTTCATGTAGTTTTAGAGAAAGAAAAATAAAAGTTCTTAGGGGAGTGAAGGAGGATAAAATATTCTATTTAATTGTTATTAAGCTCTGAGTATATCACTTGTAGATGTAAAAATTCATATCAAATTTAAGGTATTGCTTTTCATCCATAAAAAGGGAGAGGTAGTTTGCCGTGTTAGTCTGAAGTTAGTCAGAAATTAAGGTAGATTTTCACCTTATGGATAGGTGCCTACTTAGTTTGCAGTTTTGCAGAAACCACAAAATTCAGGATTGTCCTGGAAATCTGCAAAATCTACAACAAAAAAGTTAATAAAAATAAAATGCTAGCTCCCCAGTGGCATGAAGCGCAACACACAAGATAGTGGCTGCGTTTTGTTCCTTCTTCCCCAGCTGGGCCCTCTCCACCAATCAGCACTGAGGGGCAAAGCTACACAAAATGACTACAGAATTAGACCTGTCAACCCACAGAAATTGGTAAGCCCCCCTGCAACTTAGGTAGATCCCTACTTATAGGCTGACTAAAATTAGAGATGAACGGCAGAAGCTTTTTGTGAGCCTGAGCTCACTTCAACAGATACTGTCTTCAACAGATACTGTCTTTATAAATAGTACTTATTTTTTTCTATAAAACATTTAGGGTTATATTTTCTTTCACTTCCTGGCTTTCTAATGACCTAAAGTTTCCAAAGTCTTGGCTTAGAAGACCAGGTCCAAGAAGGTATTCTGTTTGCACAATTCTCCTATGTCTTCAATGGGAAGCAAGTACACATCTCATATTACCCCCCCAAAATGAGAACCACTGCAGAACATATTCACTTCAATGGGCATCATTTAGATAAAAGATGGATCCTCAGCTAAGCCAAGGGGTTCCTTACTCTCCATTCATATTAGTGATGAATCTTAACTTGTACTATGCCATCCCTGCCTGCTCACAATCTAGTTCTCCATGACAGTATAAGGCACATGTGGCTCAGCAAGACTTCTTTCTTCAGCTTTGTATAAACAATCATATAAATCTTCAACCCTTCCAGTTTCCTAGTGCTTAGTATTCTTGCCCTGTATATGGGAGATCTGGGCTAAGTACAGATGACTAAAAAAGCCTGAAGCACACTCCATCTAAGATATGCTTCTTTTTGTAAGTGACCTAGGTTAGATTGGTAGCAAACAGTATACACATTCACCCTGTGGTGGGGAGGGCATGCAGGCTGCCTGCACTGGGTGAGACCTGGAGAATAGAGCACTCCTACACACTTCCCAGCATGCTCAAGCACAAGGTTTCCAGATAGTCGGAAAGTACTGAGCTGAACTGAGCACCCAGACCACCCCTGATTGGCTGCTTGGCATGGACAAGCAAGCCCCCATACCCCCTCTGCCCTAATACTTTGAGACCCTATAGCTGTGGGCCAAAAAACCCTTGCAGCACCCCAGGTGCCCATGGACTGGGTACCTGCCAGCAGTGGCCAAGCCATGGAGGTCACAAGGTTGCCTCTTTGAAGGCCTTGTCCTGATGTACTGCACCTTGCCACCTCAGCACATCAGAGGTGAGCCACCCACACCAGCTCATGCTCAAGATGGAAGGGGAGGTGCAGGCTGGGGTTCAGGTGGTAGGGACCTAGGTTCTGGCCATTGAGATGTGGTGTTCAGTCTCTGTGGGGTTGTACCCAAGCATTAGGACATGGGGGTACCTAGCTCTCTGTAGGGTCATACCTGATTGAAGGGTTCTCCTGAGCTCAGTGTCAGGTGTGTATGCACATTGTGGGGTGCTTCATAATGGAGTGGGTGGAACAGCTTGGGGACACGGTATCCAGGTCCCAGGACTCATGCAGGGGACAGAGATACCTCCCTTTCCACCTCCTCTGCTACCTGCCTGTGGCTAGCAGATGGCTGGAGGTAGGAGGTAGAGGTGGGAGTGGGGGTGGGAAAAGGTCTGTGCTGGCTGGCTCTTACTGAGCTCAGTGGTGAGGCCATTGGGTGCTTGGTTGTAGTCCCGAGCACAGGCTGAGGGCTAACATACCTCTTGGGGGGAGGGGGCATTCTGGGGACCATAAAGGAGGCTGGGAGGACAGAAATCTAACTTGAATCAATAGGGAATCTGTTACAGAATTTCAATTCCGTGGTTTAACTTAAATCAATTTGATTTGAGTGCACATAGAACCAGGTCTATCTTAGACTAGGTTCTACCATTTTTACAACACTCTGTGCACTGAACTTCTATACAGGTACAGGTTTAGACTGATTTTCAAACATTTTGATAAGTTTATTTGTTATTTCTGCACTTGGCCCTGGGGTCATGGCTACCTCAACCTCTACATGTTTGAACCCAGACCTCCAACCTTCAAAAGAATACCCTAACTCCTGAAAGTAAGGAGCAGATACAGAAAACAAAATACAAGCGTGCATGT